TCGTGTACCCACACCGCATTGATACTCCTTGTAAACTATACTTTTGAATTTCCATATATATTATTCAATTATTTTGTTCACAAATTAGCACGCCCAGTGGGACAATTCTGCATCTCATCTCTTACGTGGGGGCAAACCCTGTATGAAATTTGAAATGGAGGAAGCTAAACCATACTCCTTAGGCACGAGTTAAAACGGCCTCATATCAAAGCTCCTTGGCATGAGTAGGAACGACCTCATATACCTTAAAGGTCCTTGACACAAGTAAACACGGCCTCATATCTTTCAAGATACTCCTTGGCACGAGTTGAAACGGTCTTATATCTTTAAGTTGTAGTGTCGAGACTTTCTTGCACTACATACTTTCAAGTGGTGTACAAGCAAGTCTCGAGGGGGCATTTGTTCACACTGAAATTTTGATAAATATTGATTATTTTTTAATATTAGTATATTTAAACATATTTTGAATAATATTGATATTATCTAATTTGTTTAATTATATAATATCAAAAGAGTTTGAACTTATCAAAACTCTTCTATCCTACATCTATAAATAATAAGACCTCTTATTTCTATTCATTCCTTCTAAGAAATAATCATGTAAACATCTTGAAAATATTTTCAGAGATCACAATAAAAATGTGATCCTAAAAGTGAAAGTCCCCCCTCCATGATGGCCATGCCTATTGATCCAAACCTCCATTGAAGATCAAACCATTTGAACCATTAAAGATCAAACCATTTGAACCCGGAGATCCTTCAACGAAGAACAAACTATATATACAAACCCTTCTTTTAAGATCAAGCCACTTGAATTCCAGAGGCCCTTTAATGGAGTTTTCAAGGCATCCAATTAAAGAATCAGAGGAATAGACTTCATTGCACAAAACAGTCATTCAAATAGGAGAAAACTTAATATTTACCTAGCAATATGACCTCGTCGGAATCCTATGTACCTCTAAAGCAACGGTCAACGGGGGATATGGATCGTCTTGAGAGGAGTACTAAGAAAACGAAAAGAGTCACTGAAGGAACATCCGATGCCATGGAAGAGGTCGAGATGGACGCTCAAGGAGTGGAATACAATGAGAACCAAAACTCCATGCAAGCCGGTAGTCTAAACCCGGACGCGGAGAAGGACCAGAATACTGGTCCGCCAAACAATGTTTCATATCTAGCCACCTTGACAGGTATGTCCAATAGGGAACGATCAATAGAAATGGAAGAGGAGATAGCCTCTGACGATGAAAAATATGATATTAAACGCGACACGGACCCTACGTGTCCGGCGATCTCAGTGAGCAAAAAGGAAAAAGCAAGGCTATGAGCCCAATGGAGACAGAGCCTTATCGTGAAGGTTATGGGTAGACGAGTGGGCTACGCTTACCTCCTCCGGCGCCTAATCGTGAAGGATATGGCAGCCAAAATTTGGTACGGTGTGTAGCAGTAGAGAAACTAACCCTCTTTTGTTTCTAAAAAACACAATGCTCACAAAACTGTAATTTACCCGTACCTAAACCACCAAGGAAGCCTCTCTTGCTCAGGAGATGCATGTCTTTCTCACTCATATACCCAGACGCATATGCCATAGTTGAGTGAGATCCGCATCAGACGTCGATGAGGATACCGCTACTGAACCCGTCACAGTACTGCCATGCAAGACGTACAAGCTTCCAAAACGAGAAGCTTTCATGAGAACAAGAGAGCCTTTTATGCCTTTCAGAACTCCACCTTCAGCTATGTACTTGCACCCCAAAGATTCCAAGGTGCCCAAAGATATCAGATTGTGTTTCAAATCAAGAATATACCGAACATTGGTAAGAGTCCTGATAACGTTATCATGAGTTTTCATCTGAACACTTCCAATTCCACTAACCTTGCATTGAGTATCATTACCCAGCAAGACAACTTCACCATCAACCGGTTCCAGAGAGACGAACCAATCTTTGTGAGGACACATGTGGAATGTACAACCAGAGTCCAGAATCCACTCGATTTCGCTCCGTTTGCAACCGTAGCTAACAGATAACATAACATCGCCTTCTGAATCACTTTCAACAACACTAGCTTCAGCGGACTTCTTTTCTCTCTCTTGCTTGTTTTTCAACTTGAAGCATTCAGTCACATCGTGGCCCTGCTTCTTGCAGTACTTACATGATTTGTTGGACTTGGATCTAGATTTTTTATTGCTACTCCTTTATTCAAGTGAACGACCCCTTACAATCAAGCCTTCACCTTTATCCTCAGACTTAATTTCAAAGTCAAACTTTTCTTTGGACAATAGGTTTGACTTAACACTGTCGAAAGTAAGGTATCACTACTATTACCATACAGCATAATTTCTTTGAAATGCTTGTATGATTTAGGGAGAGAGACAAGCAATAAAACACCGCGATCCTCATCTTCAATTATGACATCAATATTCTCCAAGTCCAATAAAATAGAATTAAATTCATCCAAGTGAGATTTAATAGAAGTACCTTCCGTCATACGTATTTTGTACAAAAGCTCTTTCAGGCGTAGCGTGTTCGCTAGAGTTTTGGCCATGTAAAGCGTATACAGCTTGGACCATAAATCTGACGCAGTTGTCTCACTTACCACCTCACATAGAACCTCTTTAGACAGGCACAAAAGAATGATTGAACGTGTCTTGTCATTCAAATCTTCCCAAGTTTCATCTGTCATTGTAGCCGGTTTCTTCTTCTTCCCAGCTAGCGCTTTCTTCAAACCGTTCTGGGTTAGAACGGCTTCCATCTGAACCTTCCAGATAGAAAAGCTGCGCTAATTTACCCGTCGAACTTCTCGATATCGAACTTGGTAACAGTCGACATCTTTGAAAATAATTCTCAATTAAACCGCTATGATACCACTTGTTAGGAATATAGCGGAATAATGCGGAAGTGAAGAATCGAAAATTGAGAATTTTAGAAGTTAAATAATAGGAAAAATATAATTACTAGAATGGGAAAGTATAATATATATATATATATATATATATATATATATATATATAGAAGAGCGCTCATATGCGGCGGGGTCTTACGGTGCGGCGGTGCGGTCAAATTCCAGAATACACCAAAAATGTTAACAATATGCACCAACAGTGTAATAAAAACACACCCCAATGAAATGTAATAAAACATCACAAAATACACCACAGACTCAAAAAAACACACCATATAACTCACCACCCCCCAATGGTGTATTTCCGAACAGTGTATGGTGTTTTTACTCACACCTAATGGTGTGTGTTTGGTGATGCAGGACTCTGTTTACTCTGTTTTGTGTGGTGTATTTCCTAACGTTGATGGTGCATATTTGGTGAACTATTGGTGTTGCCGCACCGTAAGAAATAACCGCACCGTAAGACACTGCCGCACCTGAACCCGCCTCTCTCTCTCTCTATATATATATATATATATATATATATATATATATATATATATATATATATATATATATATATATATATATATATATATATATATATATATATATATATATATATATATATATAGGGAGAAGTGTCAAATAGATCCATGTACTATTGACAAGTGCTCAATTCCCACCATGAACTAAATTAAAGGCTAATTAACCACACTTACCTACTAAATTTGTTCAATTAGCATTTTTAGCAGGTAATTGACTTTTCTTTTTTACAGATTACCAATTCAATTATTAAAAAAAATAATTTCAAAATAATTTAAAAATTTAAAAAAAAAAAAAAAAAAAGAAAGAAAGAATACAGCCACCGGCTGTCCTCGCCGGACAGCCGGTGGCTGTATTTTTATTAGTATTAGCCTTTAATTTAGTTAATGGTTGGAATTGAGCACTTGTCAATAGTATATGGGCCTATTTGACACTTCTCCCATATATATATATATATATATATATATATATATATATATATATATATATATATATATATATATATATATATATATATATATATATATATATATATATATAGAGAGAGAGAGAGAGAGAGAGAGAGTTGCACTCGGGTGCGAACGGCTCGCCCAGGCGCGAAATAGGAATGGATTCTGTTCGTCCACGTGTCCAGATCTAATGGATGAGAAACACGGATTTTTTAAAAAAACGCGGTGGCATTTTCGTAAATAATTGAACATCGAAGTGCAAGTAAAATGTATTACAAGTGCATGTAAAATGTATTATAGGTGCAAGTAAAAATTTACACTGAGCATCAATACTTAGTTGCACTTATAGTTCTAAGTAGTTGCACATATAGTTCTAAGTAGTTGCACACATAGGTATAAATAGTTGAATCTAGGTGTATGAATGTTTGTGAGTGGTTTTCAGGAGTATTACTACCCGCTGAACTCAGATCAATGAATGTTAACAAGACAAAATTACATGCACTTATAGGTGAAAGTAGGTGCACATATAGTTATAAATAGTTGCACCTATAGTTATAAATAGTTGCACAAATAGTTATAAGCACACCCAGGTGCATGAATGGTAGCGGAAAGTGAATGCTAACAAGGCAAAATTACATGCACTTATAGGTGAAAATAGGTGCACTTATAAGAGATTTTACTTGCACTTCGATGTTCAATTATTTACGAAAATGTCACCGCGTTTTTTTTTTTTTAAGTTATTAGATCTGGACACGTGTCACGCGCTGATTCGTTCGCATTTCCTTCCTGGACACTTATTCGCACCTGAGTGCGTCCCTATATATATATATATATATATATATATATATATATATATATATATATATATATATGCTACGTGAGGGACCAAGAAAGAAGAAGAATGAATTCAAATGTTGAATTGATGTGATTACAAATGCAAAGAAAGTAATCTATTTATACATAGGAATGAAGAGACAAATGCTGCAACAAAGGAAGGAACGTGCACACATGCTACGTGGGTGAGGATGAGCTGCATGCTGAGTCGCTTCTAAAACAAATTTGAGCCACACATATTTTATTTTCTAACATATATGTTAATGGAAATCCAATCTCCAAGGAAAATATACTTATTTATTTTCTTATTTCCCTAATCTCTTCAGCCTAAACTGCTTCATTTCCAGCAATTGCTCTAGGAGTATCAATTGGTTCTTGCTTAGTTGAAAACTTGACTATTGTTGATGGCGGTTTATCAATCGAAGCTACCTGATCGTTGATTGATTCTTGTGAGTCTTGATCTTGTTTCTTTCCCCATAGTACCATGTATAGACCAATGACAATCACACCGGCTCCAAAAGCCCTATGATAATCAATACAACAATGAAAGATATTGGATTAATTCAAGAGAGTTGAAAAGATGGAAAAAAAAATAAAATTTTAAGTTAATTGAACAAATTATATCTAGATATACTAGTTCAGTACTTATTACTTCACTTCAATTACTATCAAGGAAAAAGGATCAAATGAGTCCCCTAAGTTGAGTGGACAGTGCAATTGGGTCCTCTAAGTGAAAAAAAAAAAAAATCCATTTAGACCCCTTAAACCTGTAAATTAAAAATGTTCAATTAAGTCCAAATTGACCTATTTAGCACGTTATTTCTTTATAAAGTTGCACATGTCTTTTTAAAATATTTTTTTAATTCTTTAAAAAAATAAGGCTGTCCGGCGCACAGCCGGTGCTGTACCCTTTTTAATTTTTTTTTTTTATTTTCTTAATTTCTAATAAATATATTTTAAAAAAATTAAAAAATTATTTAAAAAAGACACATGTCAACTTTTTAAATAAATAACTTGTTAAACAGGTTAACTTAGACTTAATTGATCATTTATACAGATTTAAGGGATCTGAATAGAGCATTTTTTACTTAGGGGATTCAATTGCACTATCTACTCAACTTAAAGGCCTAATTAAAAATTAAAGTAGAAGGGGAGGTTAAAAGACATACTTTCCAAAGTCCAGCTGCTCAGCTAACATAAATGACCCCATAATTGCGACGATAATCATGCTTAAAGGACTAAATGAAGTGACAAAAACGGGTCCTTTTTCTTTCATGATTACACCCGACAAGTAATATGCAACTCCTGAACAAATTACTCCCTACAAATAAATCATTAAAATTAATCAAACTTCTCTTAGAAATGTTGAATATTAGTTTTTGAAAAAAAAATAAAAAAATTTGTGCTTTTGATATGTGATTTATAGGGTAATAGAAATTTTTCTCATTAATATATAGGACCAAACTTCAATTCACACTAGTGGCCAAAAACACAAATTACAGACCTCCATTTGCTGATTTCAAAAATTTTTATACTCCGTATTAGTTTAATGGATGTCTATAAGCTATATTTTTATATTTCTAGCGACTAAGTCGTGGAGTGAAACTGTGAAAGTATGATTTGACAGAAAAAAAGAGGAATATAATATGAGGAAATTTTTATTATTTACTCAGGTCAATTAAAATTTATGAAAGATAACTATAATTTTTTACGGAAGAATCAAAAGCAAGATTCACCGACTTCTCAAACACTAAAAATATTAAAATAGTGACACCTACGAGTAGGGTAGAAATAAGCCGGACCTCATTGTAGGGACCGATGACCTGGCTTATTTTCGGCCTAATTAAGCCTGACCTTTTTAGTAAGAAAAATACTTAATGTAATCTCAAAACCTTACTCTCAATTTTTACTTTCGAAACGTTATGTTGTGCAACCGTGTGTACCATGCAAAGTGCACACAGTTTCAATTCATAATTTTTATACTATAGATTCATAATTTCTATACTATAGATTCATAATTTTCTATACTATAGATTCATAATTTCTAAACCGTAGAGTCATAATTTAAATACAGTAGATTCATAATTTCTATACAGTAGATTCATAATTTCTATAATACAGATTCATAACTTCTGTACTGTACATTCATAAATTCTAAACTATATAGTTATCAAATTATGAACATATAGTTCTGTGATTTGTGAATATAGAGTTCAACAATTGGGAATATGAACATCGAAAATTATGAACATACAGTTCTGTAATTGTGAATATAGAGTTCAATAATTATGAATATGAAGTTAAAAAATTATGAATATATAGCCTTATAATTATGAACAAATAGTTCAGTAATTATGAACATAGAACAATGTGCACCATGCATGGTGCACATGGTTGCACATCATAATTTGCCTTTACTCTCACTTGTGTCTAAATTTGATTGGAGGATGAAACAAAGAAATGAATAACATCATATAAACATCATGGCCCCCTATAAAATTGAGCAATCAAAGCATGTCAAATCATAAGAAGTACAAAATGAGAGTATACTACTCATTTAGTAAATAAGACAGGCTTAAGTTCCTTTTAAAATCTATTTATTAAATAGTCCTAGGCCTATATCTATAAAGTATAGCCTACAAGCCTACCGGCCTAGCCTATTTATAATATATATATATATATATATATATATATATATATATTATTTAAAATATAAACTAAGTGTATATGTGAGTTAGAAAACTCTAACTCCCAAAATTATTTCCTATTCTACTATTCGGCTATTGCATATTTCCATACTCACAAGTAATCACACTAGTTTTTTCTAACTACTATTTCAAAGTTTATGATGCTTTATATATTGAATGCTCTTAAGTGTTGTATTTAATTATGTACACATGGACATTGGTGTCTTCAAACTCTATTTATATTTTAACATTCAAGACCCTTTGATTCCTTTCTAGTTTCAGGTTATGAATATTGTCAATAAAGAAGTAAATAAAATTAATTCAAGTGTAAATCTGTATTTGGTTAAAGATGATTGTTTATTGTGTAAGGCTTTGAAGTACCTAACCCAAAGTAAGTGTTCAAATTGTTGTGATAGATATGATTCTTTCATGCCTTTAAATAGGCTTCAGGTCAGGCCAGGCTAATGGTAGACTCAAGCTTGAGCCTAAAAAAAAATCTACATACAAATTCAGGTCCAAGTTCAGATCTTAAATTCCTATAACATGCTCAGACCTGATTTTTTAAAAGCTTAACTCGACCAGGCTTATTTCTACCCCTACCTATGAGACATCACTACTAGAAATTATAAAATTTCCGACCACTTGAATGTGATTTTAAATCAAGTCGAAAGCAAATAGTAGTCAGAAATAACAATAAAGATTTTTCCGAATACCAAAAATAGTCGGAATAAGACTTTCGACTTGATTTAAAATCACTTTCAGGTGGTCAGAAATTCTATAACTTTCAGTAATGCATGAATTAAATCTAGCCATGATCACTCTAAAATTCATAGACAACACGGAAAGTATATTATATTCCTTACACTATAAACATTAGCTAAGAGGGTAGTATCCCAATGTAATGCCCATGCTTGGGGATTACCCCTCTCAGCCACTAAGGCTAACACAGAGGCCTGCAATGCTCCCATAGTGCATATCAAACACGTAAGAGATAGTCCAGTAGGGTATGATTTCAACGTATTTGCCTGTATGTTAAACAAAACAAGTTAATTAGGGTGACACTGAACAATATTTTCAACAATGTATATAGTTTTAAAATAGAAATGATACTGAAAAAAAAAATTAAAAAAATTTGAGCACAAATGAATTTTTAACAACCTTTCTATCCATTTTACAAAATTTAATAAATTACTTGTTGCTAATTCTGACCACTCATTAAAGGTAATCATTTTCTAGCCCGTGAAAGGGAGAATTGATGGAGTTGGTAAGAAAGAAAGAAATTAAGGGATACCAAACTTTGGCTCTGTTTGATAACATATATAGTTAGCTTATCAGTCAATTTTAGTTTGACAACTATTGGTTATTTGATTTGGTTAAATAATCAATATATGTGTTTGATTAATTAGCTTTTGTAACAATTTATTGCTCTAAAGTGCTAAAATATTCAAAAAGTGGTATGCTTTTTGAAAAAAAGTAATTTTGCATGTAATCAGCTAACAGGTAATTTACCAAAGACTTTTGTATAATAAGCTAATGATGTCAACTAGTCAAACCAGGGACGTAGCCAGAAATTCTATTGAGGGGGGCGAAGAAGTAAGGGCGGATTTAGAATTTTTTTCCAGTAAAGGCGAAACATTAAAACAAAAGAGATAATTTTAAAAAAATAAATAAATTACCTAAAAAATATAGTTGTAAATATTATTGGATATGGGCAAAAAAATAAAACACATCGAAACTTTATAAAAATATTCATAACAAAATATGAAACATAATTAATTTGATAAATAATTTGAATAGAAAACACATTATAAATTATACAAACGGTAAAACCATGTTGATACCAAAGGATTTGAATCCCTAACTTTTATTATAGCCAAACATGTACTTTTCCAACTAATTAATTTAACTCATTTCTTGTTGACATTTAACAGATTTTTATACTAATACTAAAACCTGTACTATATAACATATATACATACAAAAGTTATATACGGGGTGGGGGTGGGGGTGGGGGTGGGGGTGGGAGAGGGGGGCAACTGTCCCTCCTTTAACTCCGTCCCGGAGTCAAACTCACTAACTTAATCAGCTAATAATTATTTAGCAAACACCCCTTTATGAGATTGAATTTTAAAAAATATTAAATATATAACCTGAAGAATGTAGAAGCTGGCCCAGCAGAGGCAACCTGCTGAGACCATGACAGCACCTTTAATAAAATCTTGCTGGGAATAATTAGAATGTGAAGTTTGAGTTTGGATATGGTTTGTGTGTTTGGTCCAAGGCAATCCAATGTTTGGTCCTTTGACAACAGTCATTATCATGGCTCCCCCAATGCTCACTGCTGTTCCTAAAATTTTTGCCTGGCTATGCAATTTCCTCATCTTCACTTTCTCAAGCCTGTACATATATTATTGGATTATATTATATATGTTATTAATATATAATATTATAATGATTATATTGTTGGTATCATCAGTAAAAATGTACCCAAGGATCCAAGCCAATATAAAAGTAATGGCTGGAAGAACATTGGACAATGCTGTTGAAAAAGTTGCCGTTGTGTATTTCATCCCAATGAAATGCAAATTCATGTCGATAACGGGCCTGCATATATATAATAATAACAATATTATTATTCTTCCAAAAGGTTGAACCCCAACCCTAAGAGTCCCACACCCCGGCCTGATAGAGCATCTGGGAGGATGTAAATAATAATAATATTATTATTATTAATACACAATTCCAATACTTAAAAACACAATTTATATTTTAGATGTTCACAATTCCAATACTAAAAAGACACAATTTAGGACCAGAGAAGGTGGACCCTGGTCTATAGTTAGATCACATTAATGGTTATATGCATGCTCAACATGTTCCCTCACGTGTGCGGGCCATCTCAACTAAAAGGCTAAACTGATAGCTAGATTGCAGATTAATGTTTGCTCAGCACTCCCCATCACGTGTGCGCTGAGATTCGAAGGCTCAACTCTCCCCTCACGTCACTGCTGGAAATTATGGAATTTCCGACCACCTGAAAGTGACCTTATATCAAATTGAAAACAAAAAGTGATCGGAAATAGCAACAAAAATTTTTATTCCATAATTTTCAGCAGCGTGTGCACTGAGATTTGAACACATCGCCTTTGACGACACTCTGATACCAAACTGAAACATTGATTCATCTCAACTAAAAAGCTAAGTTGATAGTTAGATCATATTAATGGTTATATGCTCAACATATATATATGAGTTGGGGGAGGAATAAAAATGACGGAATAATTTTGAGAGACAAGAAATAGAAAATCGTTTTTTGGCCTTCATACTCTAATAAAGCAAGGGCCATTATCTTCAAGAAAATGGAAACTGTCATCTTCGGCCATATTTTCCTGTATAAAAAAATCAATGATACAACAAATTTAATGTGTGTATATATTAAACGCACAAAACTTTATTCTTCTTAAATATATGAAGATGATGGCCGGCGTACCTTTCGAAGGCGACGGCAAAAGGAGCGAAGAAGACGGCGGCGATGAAATTCCGGTAGACTGCGTAAGTGAAGGGGCTCATGCCGTCATTGAGAGCAGACTTGGTAATAATATACGTGCCTGCATACCCAAACTGCAATAACATTACAGCCAAATATGGCTTTGCCAACTTTAAGAATTTAACTAAATTCTCTCGTGTCATGTTAATTGCTTTCTATTGTTATTTAATTTTGTTTAATTTATATAGTTTGTTGTTCCCTTTATATATAGGCAATTTATACCGTGCACCAGGGCGCACATTGTAAAACGACGTTGTTTTGGACTTTTTTTTTTTTTTTTTTTTTTTTTTGAAAATTTTGCTTTTCCGTGTTTGCTGTTAACTTGTTAAAAAAAATCATGTTTTGAAAATGTACATAATTGTATATTAAAATGTACATAATTGTTTACTAAAATTTACATAATGATATACTAAAATGTACATAAACTTTTAACTGTTAAATAAAATCGCGTGTTCGAATATACATATTGTATAAAAAAATATACATAATTATATAAAATAATGTACATAATTATATAACATAATACATATACAATCTGTCGCGTAAACTCCATACACAACTTACCAAAACGATGTCGTTTTAGGAGGCGCGGGGCGCAAAGTGCTATGTACACCGTGGTGCAGGGTATAACGATTATTATATATAGGAGTGAAAGTGAATGCAAATTATTGTATGGACCATGGTCCATACAGTGTTGTGTGGACCATAACAAAACGTACATTTTTAATATATTAAATGTACATTATTTTTGTACTGAGTGTATATCATATAATATAACATACGCTCAGTACAAAAATAATGTATATCCCCTAAATACCAATAGTTATGCTGTGCAACCGAATGTACCATGCGCATGGTGCATACGGTTCAAAACGACGTCGTTTTGATTAAAAACGCGCGTCCCACTTAAAAAAAAAAAAATCAGGTTCGACTCTCAGCAATAGCATTATTGTGGATATATAGTTATGAAATTGTGGATATATAGTTATGAAATTGTGGTTATATAGTTATGAATTTATGGATATTTAGTTCATTCATTGTGGATATTTAGTTCAATCATATATTGTGGATATTTAGTTCATTCATTCATTCATTGTGAATTTTTACTTCATTCATTCATTGTGGATTTTTACTTCATTCATTCACTGTGGATATATAGTTATGAAATTGTGGATATATAGTTATGAAATTGTGGTTATATAGTTATGAATTTATGGATATTTAGTTCATTCATTGTGGATATTTAGTTCAATCATATATTGTAGATATTTAGTTCATTCATTGTGGATTTTTACTTCATTCATTCATTCATTGTGGATTTTTACTTCATTCATTCATTCATTGTGGATTTTTACTTCATTCATTCACTGTGGATATATAGTTATGAAATTGTGGATATATAGTTATGAAATTGTGGTTATATAGTTATGAATTTCTGGATATATAAAAATGCTATTGCCGGGAATCGAACCTGATTTCTTCTTTAAGTGGGACGCGCGTTTTTTTAACCAAAACAGCGCCGTTTTGCAACCGTATGCACCTTGCAAGGTGCATTCGGTTGCACAGCATAATTTGCGCCTAAATACAATGTACATTATTTTGTACTGAATATACATTATTTTAGACTATACGAAATATAGTTTACACAATTTGTATGGACCATGGTCCATACAATAATGATAAGATGGTCCATACAATAATGATTGGAAAGTGAAAGCCGTTGACAATCGCATGCATGCGAGTATTGTGGGCAAATTTCAATATTTCATTAATTATCATTAGTGCCTATCATTACTCATTTCATTATTCCAAAAAGTTTGATCCGCCTGAACATTTGAGAAGGTAAAACATTTGAGAAGGTAAATCATGGTAAGATTAGGTTAGATTTTTGTTTATTGTGTATAAGGAGTCTCTCACTTTAAGAGGTTGCTCTCACATTAATAATGATGAGACTTGATCCCAGATCATTATTATATTGTTCTCAAACTTTATCTTATTAGTACTCTATGTGTTTGAGTTAGATTATGATTCTTTATCGCAATCTCTTTGAGTCTCTCTTTATATATACATGTAATCTTTACATTTGTAATTACATCTACTATACTAATAAGAGCCCAAGAGAGTTAGGTCTAAAATGGGCAGAAAAAATGGCGGTCAAATTTTTTAATTAAATGAATGGCTAAGATTGATCAGATTTTAATTTTTCCTTAGAATTTCTTAATTTATCCTTAATGAATATGATTATCCGTTAACTTTTCCGTTAAATATTATCTTGATTTCAATAAGAAAGGTCTTAGGTTCGAACCTCATCCCAATCAAATATGGCATAATTAGTACTCTATTTTACTCTTATTAAATTAAAATAATAATTTAGTAGCTACAACAAAAAATAATACATATGTATTTCTTTAATTTAGAATTATGTGTCTACAATGTCTTTATTAAAAAAATTATTCATTATCAATAAATTAAATAAAAGAAATAATTTCATTAGTTATATTGTCTTTATTTTTCTCCAATATAAAAATTCTTTACATTCAAATTCATCAATTGATTATATTGGCTACATTGTCCCTACAATGTCTTTATTTTAAAAAAAAATTATTCATTATCAATAAATTAATTAAGAGAAATAATTTTATTAGTTATATTGTCTTTATTTTTCTTCAATGTAGAAATTCTTTACATTCAAATTCATTAAATGATTATATTCACTACATTGTCTATTATCATTTTTGTGCACTATTTTTTTTAATTAAATATCAAAGTTATAATACAAATAATGCTATATATTTATTTACCAAGTATTTTATTAATAACATGAAAAAATTTTAAAAAATATGATTAATAAAGTCAATCATATTAACTACTTGAGGGATTTGTTGACAAAGAGAGTATTCAAATCAAATCACACAACAAATTGAAGTGATAACTAACTCGTAATGTCCTTGTTTTACAATCAACAGTTAGCGGTTAGCGTTAGCGGATTTGACCAGCGAATTATATCAACGATTGGTAAAAAGATTTTTGAAAAAATTAGTTGTTTAGATTAACATGTAAAATGATCTAAGGGTATAATAATAATAATAATAATAATAATAATAATAATAATAATAATAATAATAATAATAATAATAATAATAATAATAATAATAATAATAATAATAATAATAATAATAATAATAATAATAATAATAATTATTATTATTATTATTATTATTATTATTATTATTATTGTTGTTGTTGTTGTTGTTGTTGTTGTTGTTGTTGTTGTTGTTGTTTAATAAAATAAAAAAATAAAAAATAAAATTAAGGCAATCATATTAATTACTTGGAGGATTTATTGACAAAAAGAGTATTCAAATCACACAACAAAATGAAGTGAGAAACTACCTCGCAATGTTCTTGTTTGGCAATCAGCAGTTAGCTCTTCAATATTAGTATATATTTAATATTTTATGCATAATTTTTATTTGCTCTCCCTTATGTCCCGTGTTTAGTTTCAACCATACCTATACAATTATTTTATTGACAATTATATTCAATCTTGATTATATTATCTTGCATTTGTAAACTTAGAATTATCTATTTAAATATATAAATTCAACATTCAATTATCTATGCATGAACAATTTCATTATAATCTTGCATTGATATACTTTAAATTACTTATTTAAAAAAAAAAACATCTAGCATTATCCCAATCGCGCAATGCGCGTAAAAAACTAATTACTTAATACAATTCATTTAGTTCTCATATGATATCAGTTAGTTAGGGTTCAGACATACAAAGCCGCGAGATCCGTACAGTGCTCGCCATTAAATCTTCACCAACAATAAAACAATTCGGAGATTCTAATTTCCGTTCGGTGGCTTCGTGTTCTTTGGCGATGGCTGAAATTAATTTGTCATCCCCGCGGCACAAAAAATTTTAACATCCAAATTGAAGTCCATAGGGTGAGCTCAGTTACGTGGCAAAGGAATACATATGCTACATGGTACACACAACAAGGCATATATGATACAGGCTCTCCCTTGTGATATTTTGATACAAAGGTAAGAGCAAATAAATTTCAGCTCGATGCACGCGCAAGACATAAAGAACCGAGGCGGTGGCAACCGGAGTCGTGGTAGAGGTGGCTTGTTTAGTGTTAAATTTGTGATGGTTTTGGTCACACGAGAGTCATTTGTTTTCGGCACTATGATATTCACTGTCAAATTTGTGATGGTTTTAGTCACACACGGGAGTCAATTGTTTTCGGCGCTGTGATGATCAATGTCAAATTTGTAAAGGTTTCGACCACACCGGGAGCCAATTGTTTTCAGCGTTATTCAGGGGCCCCGGGTTCTCAGGCTAATTTGGTGTTTCAGGATGCTTTGGGAACTAAAATCTCGTCAAATTCTCATACTTGGGTTCCGGACACTGGAGTCACAAATCATGCAACTTTAGACGTAGTTGCCCTTTCTACCTCAGAGAAGTACACTGGTAATGACACTTTACGTGTCGGTGATGATATCATCACCAAGGAAATCCTCCTACAGGGCAGTAGTTCGGGTGGCTTATACACTTTGCCTGTTCCAAGTTCGTCTCCTTCCACGTTTCTCTCGGCTCGTGTAACACCCCATATTTTACCAAAATTTTTAAAACTTACATTCAAAGATAAATAACTAATCATCAAAGCAATCAAAAGCGGAAGCTATTTAAAATCGGAAGGCGTTATGCCACACCCATAAACCATGGGTGCACAGGCTAGGCCTTTTCAACAATCCATCAAAACAGTATAAAGTCTAAGGCACACAGGCCACGTCTAACTAAGGCTCACAGGCCCAAAACAAAGCAACTAGACGGAGGGAACTACACTAGTTACCAACAACGACTAGCGCACTCCACAACTAAGCAAAACCTGTAAAAGATAAGGGATAACACCCGGTCAGCGAATAATGCTGGTAACCCATCAATATGCGTTAAATAGCATAGTATAGATAGATATAAACAAAGCCATTTGGAACTGAGGAATACAATATATATCATTTTAAAACCAAGGAAGGAAGTCAACATCAAAGACTCATCACACTCTCAACAAGAATGAGGATCATCAACCTCAACACAACAACAAGACCACAAACATCATAGACAACACAACTCAGGATGCAACCTACCATTCACAAGGTGGAGTACATCAA